TTATTTTTGAAAGAGAGAGAGAGACAGAACATGCATGCATGACTAGGGGAGGGATAAAGAGAGGGCAAGACACAGAATCTGAAGCAGGCTCCAGGCTCTGAGCTGTCAGCACAGAGCCTGACGTGGGGCTGGAACTCATGAACTGTGAGATCATGACCTGAGCCAAAGTCAGATGTTTAACCGACTGAGCCACCCAGGTGCCCCTTGTCTTTCTCTTTTTTATTTATTTATTTATTTATATATTTTTTAATGCCAGAATGGTATTTTAAAAAACTGTGCAGCCATCCTTCCTTACTAAATTCAGGAGTAAAGGAAAAAAGCTTTAGCCTCCTGAGTCACCACAAACTTATTTCCTGTGACCAACGCCAGCCCACCCAAGTCTGAAGAAGCAACTGGCAGACAGTGGTGCCTTTCCATTATGTTTGAAAATATAAAGGCCAGCTCAGACTATCCTAGCTATCCTCACCCTCTAAACAAATGCCCGTGTTTTGGAACCAGTGAGAGAAGGTTATTTTTGTGTGTGCAACCAGAATACTAGCCAGAATTCTTGACTTGAACTTCTTAACATGATTCTTCAGCTAGGCATGGATGGTAGCATTAGCCTGTTTGGAATCTTCTAGATGGATTCCTTTCTTTATCTGGCCTCTGTATCAGAGCAAGCATTTAGAGCCTTTTTTTTTTTTTTTTTTTTTTTTTTTTTTTTTTTTTTTTTTTTTTTTGGCAGCTGTCGATATAGAAGTATAGGACATTTCCAAGGTGCTGCCACCATTCTCAGAGGCACTAAAAGCATTTTTCAGGGAATTAGGGTGGTGTGGCCTTCCCCAATGAAATATACATGAAAATGTGTATTTGCTTCAGGATTCAGAATAAACAAGATTTTGGCTCTCTCTTGAGTGCCAGTAGACAACAGAATACTTAAATATCTGTCATTTAAGAGTGGGTTTTAATTGTTGCCCGTTACAGTTGGATGTTTGGTGTGAAACAACCAAAGAGGGAATTTTATTGTTGTTTTGAATCAAGTTGTGAGTTTGAAAACATTTGTTTCTGTGATGTGGAGGGTTTTCTTTCTCTTCTTTTTTCCCCCTTGCCATTATCAGTCACATCAAACAGTTCCAGATGCTTCAGAAAAGTCACTTATGTCATGGTCTTTCTGTAACAGGTCTGCCTGCCTTAATCGTGTCCATTGTTCTCGCAAGCAAAAACCAAAATGAGGTCTATGGAAAAGAAAGTTATGGAAAAGAACAAGGCGATGAATTGTAAGTAATAAAAACTTGTTGGGAATTTGTTTGTGGTGAGTACATATCCTTTGCTTCCTAAAGTTTAGTACAAGTTTCCAGGCCAGTAGTGAGCCTCGTATTTTGGAAGGTTGGAATGCATTTGCACGCCTTAGCTGAGGTCTCTGTTGTCTCTCAGCTGTTCAGCTGGGTGCCCTGTCCTGTGAGCTGCTTTTCCATGGTGACCTGTGCTCTGTCACCTGGGAGACTGACAAGGAAGTCTGTTATATGCTCTGCTAGGCTCAGAAGACCCATTCTTTTTGAGGAGATTCTGTAAGGCTCCCTTTCCTTAAACTCGCACACATCTTCAAGAAAATCAAATCAGTGTTTGTATTTGGAAAATTTCCTTCACACTGTGGGATCGTTGAGGCCAGGATTTGCATATTGTTCATGTCTGGCAGTTCTCTCATACTTTATCTAGCCAATAAGAGGTCCTCAATAAATATCTGTTGGTTGAATGAATTATTGATGCACGAAGAGCTTACTCCTGAGATGAGGCCTGTGAGGCCACATTTCTGTGCACATTTCATGCATGGATAACTCGTTCATATCCAGTCAGTGTCCAATCTGTGCCCCGTTCCCTCATGGACTTCTTTCTCTTATCTTTCCAAAGCAGCACTCAAAAGACCCCACAAGAACTAGCAGAAAATAAAGGATCCAGGTCAGGCATTTCAGGATCCTAAGGGGGGACTTCTGTATGTGAAGGAATATTAGCTCCAGAGATAAGCAGCATCATTTGAGGGATTTTTATAATAAGATATATTAAAAGTAGAAGTCAATGCATCAGTTCCTAAACAAGGGAATTTTGCAAGTATGTTAGTCAAGTCTCACAGGACTTTAAAGCACATTTAGTAAGTCGCTGTACCATCAACGGCTGTCATTTATCGAGCATTTATTCTATGCCGAGAATCACGTTAGGTTCTGGGATTCAAGCTTGCTCAAGATAGCCTTTGCCTTCGTGGCAGTAACGTGCTGGTGTGGGACACATAACCCAGAATGGTAGCCATTTACTTGAGAATTTTAAGTTGAATTTAATTGCTTTAAATAAATGATCCAATTTCTGAGGCACCTAAGAACTTTGATGGTGTTAATTAGGAATGGGGGCATCTGCAGATTGTGGTGTTTGTTGACTTTACTCATAGGGCACTTTATATAAGTATGTTTTTTTTTAAATTTTTCTTAATGTTTATTTTTAAGAAAGAGAGACAGAGCATGAATGGGGGAAGAGAGGGAGAGGGAGACACAGAATCTGAAGCAGGCTTCAGACTCTGAACTGTCAGCACAGAGCCTGACGCGGGGCTCGAACCCACAAACCGTGAGATCATGACCTGAGCTGACATCAGACACTTAACTGACTGAGCCAGCCAGGGCCCCTAGATGAAAGTAACTTAACACACATGGTATAGTTTTTTTTTTTTTTTTTAACATTTATTTATTTTTTTTGGGACAGAGAGAGACAGAGCATGAACTGGGGAGGGGCAGAGAGAGAGGGAGACACAGAACCGGAAGCAGGCTCCAGGCTCTGAGCCATGAGCCCAGAGCCTGACGCGGGGCTCGAACTCACGGACCGTGAGATCGTGACCTGAGCCGAAGTCGGATGCTTAACCAACTGAGCCACCCAGGCGCCCCATGGTATAGTTTTTAAATTACTTTCATCTCAGTGTGCCTGGGATGGCTCAGTCGGTTAAGCATCTGACTCTGGATGTCAGCTCAGGTCATGATCTCATGGTTCGTGACTTCAAGCCCCACAATGGGCTCTGCACAGTTAGTGGGATTCTCTCTCTCTCTCTCCCCTTCCCCCCACCCTTCCACTGCTCAAAATAAATAAATGTATTTATTTACATTACATCTCTGTCTCAAAATAAATGTATTTATTTACATTACATCTCTGTCTCAAAATAAATAAATGTAAATAAAAAATAAATTGCTTTCATCTATTTTCTGATCTATATATACCATTCTGAATATCAAGTATATTCCTCCTTATCTCATAAAGATGTAATTGGTGTAAACTTTTTAACTGTTCATGAGAAGTGTCCCTGTAGGAATATCACAGTTTTCCAATTAGGTCTTGCCTCAACTAGGCTAATTATGTTCATAGGAATTATTCTGCAGCAGTAATGGAATCCATGATCGTGTGTGTCTTAAGTAGGAACTGGCTCTTTCCACATGACAAGAGATGTAGAAGTAGGCAACAGCCAGCACCGGTTTCATGACTGAAAATGTCAGGGCCAGCGATTCTGCAGTGATCTTGGCCTTTGCCTCAGAGATGTAAAGGGAGAGCTGCAGCTCCAGACCTTGCATTCATGTTGGAAGCAGAAAGAACAAAGGAGGGCCTTGCCAATTCAGTTTATTGAGCATAGCTCTCCCAAAAATCCCGTAGCAGATTTTGCTTCCATATCATTTTGTAGAACAAATGTCCACATGGCCACCACTTAAGTGCAAAAGCGATTGAGAAATGAGTACTTAAATTTCCCACTCTCGGAATGCAGTCACATAAGAGAAGGGGGGGTTAGGCATGGTTTTGAGGGAGCCAAGAGTGTCTTCACATAAAGTCAGAATTCAAGATGCTACTTCATTTTCTTTTTTAACTGTTGATTTAAATAACTAGATATTAAGATGATGGCTATCTAAAACAACCCCCCCCCCAAAAAAAAAAACCAGACAAACAAAAAACCGTGTAAACATCAAAAAAGAAACTGCGGCCCGAGAAAATGAAATGACTGTCTAAAGACACCGAGAAAGGCCCAGCTGTGAAATCTGCAGAAGTCCAAACTAAGCCAGGAGGAGTCTTAGGTAAACAGAACATGGTAATAAATCTTTTTCTTTCTTCTTTCTTCTTCTTCTCCAAGCTGTTGGATTCAGGATCCAGTCATATTTTATGTGACCTGTGCTGGGTATTTTGGAGTCATGTTTTTCCTGAATGTTGCCATGTTCATCGTGGTCATGGTGCAAATCTGCGGGAGAAACGGCAAAAGAAGCAACCGGACCCTGCGCGAAGAGGTTTTAAGGAACTTGCGCAGTGTGGTCAGCCTGACGTTTCTGCTGGGCATGACGTGGGGTTTTGCTTTCTTTGCCTGGGGACCCTTAAATGTCCCTTTTATGTACCTCTTCTCCATCTTCAATTCATTACAAGGTAAGGTATATGGTACCTTGGTGATATCTGCATTCTAATGTTATCGTGTTTGCAAGCAGTTTCTCTGTGGGACTGATGCCGTGCTAAGTGTCCACTGCATTGTTCCAGGTGATGAACACAGTCCCAGGTACAGGGCACTCATTAAAAGGATCTTGAATTTTTTGCGGTGATGTGTATCCCAACCACTTGGAACAGTGCCTGACGGATAGTAAGCACTCAGTAAATCTACATGATTATATGACTAAGTGGGGAGTGTAAAGGGAGGCACAGACAATGTTATCTTCTTCACAGTTTCGCTTAGTATCCATGTAGATGTAACATGGCCCCGAAGAACTTGTAGAATCTATGTAGGGACAGAGCAATTCACCTTGATTCCTTGGCTCCTTGGATTTCAAAATAAATACCAATAGTCTAGTTCAGAAATGCTCATTTTCTTATGAGATAGAGCAGTTAGTTCAACAATTTTGCAAACATTTGCCAATGGCCTTCTTTGTACAGAAGTCAAAGGCTTCCTTCAAGGAGCTTCCTGTCATGCTTCTGATTCCATAACACATACCCGAGTATACTCTATGAGGACTTCAGCGTTTAAACTTAAGTAAATATAAGTCATGGTTTTTGAAAGCTGATGACATTCTTTAAGATATTGGATGTCCCTTGGGTCATTGATAGGCTCCCTGATGTTTAGAAGCATGGTGAGGCCCACACTACAAAAGGAAGGAGGTGGCAAAGCTTGGGATTTTTGAGTAGGGCAGTACTACAGGCTCACCAGCAGCACCTGGCCATGCCCTGGTAGGTGTGGGGGGAAGGAGGGCTAAGGAGAGCTGCGCTGATCTGAGCTGGGGTGGACAGCATGGGAGGATGCAGGCTTGCTCATCAAACTCCCCAAACGAGATGTCTGGGCAGCTTCTCCCCTACAGGTGCGTTCTAAGAAAAGCTAGTATTTACCAGCAGGGGAGTGTTTACCGTTTCGTATCGTACTATTGTATCGTATCGATACTTTGCTCTGCCTCCTAGTTTTCCCACCAGCTCGTGAGCTCCTGAAAAACAAAACAAAACAAAAATCTGTCATGAAGCAGGTGCTCAGTGATTGTTTGTTAAATGAATAAATGGATTGCTGGATGAAGAAAGGGGGGAGCAGCTTTGGAGATGGCTTAAATCCAGCCTGAGACTCTTCTGGCATAAAGAGGCATTAGTTCAGCAAATTTTATTCAGGTTCACTGTCCCATAATAGAGGAAATATGTGGGCTCATTATCTTTAGTAAATAGAATAATAAGCCTGGAACACCCCTCCTAAAGATGGAAACCGGATAGGTAGCATTATGAACACATCTTCATTAGGATCTAGCTTTGTAAAGTGAGCATTCCCCTAGTTAATCTCTTCCATAATATACAACTTAAAGTGCCTAGATAAATATTGACAGAAATGTCCATTAACATTAGAAATTCCATGGTTTTCTGTTTCGGGCCCATTAATCTGCCAGCCCAACCTTGTTTTTGCTTTTAGAATTTCCTGGCAGTTTCAGTAACCTTCAACAGCTACAGTTGTCTGTTCAGCTCTGTTTCCATTAATGAGAATCGGGATGTTTTATTTTTCCCAGGATAGGTCTCCTGTCAGGAGGGAAAAATGTTCTAAACCATCATCAAGTCACAGTTCTGCATGAATCGCTAACTTTTAAGACTGATGTTAAAATTACATAAAATCAGAACAGATTTCTGTACATCCCAGTGACATTAAAAACACTTCCTGAAAAGGAAATTTACATTAAAACACAGTGGTCCAGAGCACACGAGCCCACCAACAATTGCTTACTGGCCAGGTCTGTACAAAAATTTGTCAGGACGCTACAGAAAGTCGCTTGATGGTTTTTATTTGAGTCACTTTCTGAACCGTCTAAGAGAGGCTTGGCTGTTGTTGAAAGTATATGCTTTATTCAAAGATGCATGTAGAACCTAGGCAGTCTAGAGAAACAATTCAGTGAACTCAGGTAGTACTTAGGCACACTACTTTGTCTTTTTTATTCTTTCTGATATTTTTTTTTATTCCGGCAAAAAAACCAAAACCAAAAACAAACAAACAAAAACCTTGACACGATCCCACTTGTCTCACGGAGTTTCTGTTCTAGTAGGAAAGACCGACATTAATCAGATAGTCACCATATGAAATGTAGCTGGTGGTGTTGGGAGCACATGACAGAAGCCGTGGTGTCTAAGCTGGAATCTGAAGGACCGGCAGGGATGAATGAGGTGGAGGTGGATGTAGAAACGGAGAAGGGATGATTCTGGGTGGAGGACACTCCGTGTGCAAAAAACCTGCTATCGTTAGTGATTATAGTGTATGCCCCAGGAATTAAAAGAAAGTTCCTATAACCAGAGAACCAAGAATGAGCCGTAGAGTGACAGAGTGATGTGCATGGCACAAAAGGGAGCCTGGGGCTGGACCATAAGGCCCTGTATTTTGATCTTTCTAAGACCAGTGGAAAGTCTTTGAAATCTTTTAGGTATGGAATGACATGATCAGATGTGCATTGTATAAAGATGAAGCTGGACCTATGAAGAAGGGATTAGAACGGCCCAGCAGTGGCTGTATGGCAAGCAGAGAAGAGGCTATTCCAATGGTCCGGGTGAGACAAGGCAGTGAAGTATTTTAGACTGCAGTGGGGATGGGGGAGCTGGAAATACATGAACGGAGTCAAGAGAAATTTTGGAAGTATGCTGCCCCAGGACACTCATCACTGGTTTGCTCATTAAAGTAAACTCTTGGGTGCCTGAGTGGCTCAGTCAGTTAAGTGTCTGACTCTTGGTTTAGGCTCAGGTCACGATCTCACGGTTCTGTGAGTTCGAGCCCCACATTGACCTCCACGCTGACAGTACGGAGCCTGCTTGGGATTCTCTGTCTCTCCCTTTCTCTCGCCCCTCCTCTACTTGTGCTCTCTCTGTCTCTCTCAAAATAAATAGATAAACTTAAAAAAAAATTATTTTTTTAGAATGGTCAGGGTGAGTGATCTTCTTGCTTAATGCGATATTCTAGCTAACTGAAGCCTATCATTATTAGACTCAGCAGTGGCCAAAGATGTAGAGTGTAATACAATATTATGAAAATTAAGTTTATGCCAAACAGATTTTAATCTCAGATGTAGCTTGTAATGAAACATCTGAAAATCAGACCCCTCACCTTTTAGTGTTCTAGAGATGGTGTGTGCACGAATGACAGGTGTCCAAGCTGGGTCTGTAGTCAGATCGGGGCATCTGTGTCACATGAGTGGCTTTGGCGAACAGATTTCTTTCCATTTTTGTGTATGTCTTCAAAACTTTGGTTCAAACATGCTAAAAATCCATTTTATCTTTCAGGACTCTTGGAAATAAATGCATGTATGGATGTGAGGGTGCCCAAACACACATATACATGTATGATCATATGGGTGCTTACATAAATTTACATAGCCTACATATTAAAAGGTTATGCATGCTTTATTTTTATATTTTATTTTAAGGGTCAGTTTTAATATGTATTTTTGTTATTATATGTATTTTTAATTTTTTATGTACATTTACAGCCATACAACTTAACTGCCAAAAATGGTGGTATCAGAGAATTACTATAATCTGTGTGTCATAGCTTAAATTTTACCTACTTGAATAGGCAAATGAAATCATGAATTGAATCCAGCTTAAGCCTAAGTCTATTATTTTCTAATTTTTCACAGTACATTGCTTTGTTCTTTTTATTTTTTCTTCTTCGCTTGAGTAAGTTATATTTTAATCAGTCCACTGATTTTTTTTTCTCTTAAGATGAAAAGATAACTGTGTCTTCTCTTGCCATGGTGGGGTTGCATATCTGTTCTTACTGTCTTTGCTGCTTTCACCAGATAAACTGGCAGATCACTGCATTTGAAATTTTAATTTTTTTTCTGAAGAATACTTGAGAAAATGGTATGGTGTACAAATTGCTATTTAAAAGGGAACAGATGTTTGACAAAAGCATATCATAATTCACATGCCTGGGAACATTAGCCTACACTTCAGGAAATACAATGTAATGCATTTTAAAGAAGTAAAAGGCAGTTCCCTGATTGTTGAGAAGGTCTTGGCCAGAGTCCCCTTGGGCACCTCTGCCTCTTAACCATATTGACATACTTGTAGGATTAGATTATTGTCTGTGATTAAATAAGTGCACATAGTTGCTTATAATAAAAGCGATAGAGGTTCCTGGGTGGCTCAGTCGGGTGAGCATCCAACTCTTGATTTCAGCTCAGATCATGATCTCACAGTCCTGAGATCAAGCCTCACATTGGGCTCTGCACTGGGCATGGAGTCTGCTTAAGATTCTCTCTACCCCTCTCCTTCTGCTTTGTCCCTCCCCCAGTTGCATATGCGCATCTCTCTCAAAAACAAAATAAAAAAAAAAAAAATTTAAGTGATAAACAATGGGGCGCCTGGGTGGCTCAGTCAGTTAAGAAGCTGATTCCTGATTTAGGCTTAGGTCACCATCTCATAGTTTGTGAGTTTGAGTCCCATGTTGGGCTCTGCACTGACAGTGCGGAGCCTGCTTGGGGTCTTCTTTCTCTCTGTCTGCCCCTCCCCTATTTGTGCTCTGTCTCTCAAAAAATTTAAAAAAAAAAATTTAAGTGATAAACAATATTCAGACTGTATGTTTTTTTTCATTAACTATACCAAAATATTTGATACTATCAACTAGATTAGGTTTTTTCAACACATAGGGAAGTTTAACACTCCTGGCAAGTTTATCAAGATCTGTAATTAGTCCCATAACAAGAACTTGGTCTTCAATTTTCCTTTTCCAAGCATGTGAATTCAACAATATTGATTGCTGGTCTTGGGCACAATCAGCCCATCTTTTATAATTCTGAGAATAGAAGCTGCCGTTGCGAACACACAAGGTTATTATCAGTTTACTCAGAGATAATGTTTGCCATTAATTTGAAAATATGAAGATACCCAGAGCAACAGAAATAATTTATATTTTCACAGTTGCATTGTGG